TCTTAGCTCAAGCTCATCTGTGCCCTATTCCTCCTTATGTGAGGCCCATATATTGGACTCAGGATCACTCCCTAAGGGTTTATCCTGTGCCAGATCTCATGATACTAGCAGATAAGTACGACCCTTACACGTGCTCGAGTTTAGAGTGTGTTTGTACAAATCCCAGTTCTTTTGCTAGAAATGAGTTTGCATTTAAGGTGTACTGGCCATCAACTAAGGAGCTTGAGGACTGTAAGATTACTGATTAGGTGTAAATACCGCCTCTGACATCTGTTTTGTCTATTTTCCAAACATAGCCATCTTGCTTATTTTTACTTGTAAAGAATATATTTACAGCATTGTATTTAGAAAAACCAAATGGTACCCGATCACAAAAATGCAGACAGAGAACAGAAAGCTTAAACTGTGAAATACATGTATCATGCAAGTTTTACTGAAAAGGTTGTCAAACGAAAATAGGCAAATAAAAGGTTTTTTCTCACTGAGATCTCACAAATCGGAGCGATTGCAGAATACGCACAAATCTTGGGAATTTTAGCTGTTGGAAATGACAATGTAAAAAGAAGGGAAAAAAAAAGAAAAGAGAAAAAGCGGGGGTGGGGGACTCGGATGTACGTCACGCAACCATTTGTATAATGCATGACATGGTTCTATTTTTAGCTCTCGTTTGCGTCGTCGGTATGTCAGCAGAACCAGGCTCTGTCGGTAAAGAACTTTCCTGATCTATTGCGGATGTTTTTGTGAAATATGGGAACTGTCAAAGCAGGATATCTCAACAAACTAAGTAAGCCTTCTTAGAAGTGGTCGTTTTGAAGAGTTATGAACGTGACATCGGTATAGTAAACCAGTGTACTAATTTTCTTTCTAGGCGGATTTTTTAAGAATTCGTGGAAGAAAAGGTACTTCGTGTTGTACAAAGATGGCGTGTTCTGTTATTATCAAGATGCAAAAGACAAGGAATGCGATGGAAAAATCCACATGAAAACAGAATGTCGACAAATTAAAGTTGGCCATGCTGTTGGAGAAGGCGTTAAACCTCCGAAAGACAGTGAAATAAATTCGATGTTCTGTGTTTCTTCACCTGAAAGGACCTGGTATCTCTACGCCAAAACAGAGAGTGAAGCCAGGTAAACTGCGTTTGTCTTTAACTTACTTGGGAACGGTCAATAATCTCCGTAGGAAAGTCCTGTTTATTCCAATTCCTTTCACCAGACGAGAATTAACCATTGGTGGGGTTCTACAAGCTGGGGCTGTTTAATGCCCGAATTTTACTTGCAAAACTAGAAGCGAGCGATTCTCGTTGTAATCGGCGATTACCTACCCTGCTAGCAGAGTCGCTTCGTTCTTTCCTAGGAAGATCCATCGAGGGAGACTCTGTTCGTAGGGTAGCGATTACCATATTTGTGTGCTGAATTTTTATAGAGATGCTTTTTGTTCCCTAAATGAATTTAGATTATATATTGCCACTTTAATACCACTTCAATCTTTACGGTACAGTATATCAAAAAGAAATAACCTTGTTTGTTTGTGTTAATATAAGGTGTACTGTAATATCACAACGTCTTCGCGTGACTAGAATATTTTAAGAACGCTTATACGTTAGGGGCCGTCGACATATTCACTTTTTCCCCGCTTAACGACAACTGGGCGTTTAGGTCAGACCCCCCTCCTCAACGTCCACTTGAAATTTTGCTGCCCCAAAAGTCACTGCATTCCAGAATGTTTATTGACATGCACTTATAAGTGAGGATGTCAACGGTATGAACACAATTTACTGCACAATTCTCCAACCTATTCTCTTGTAAAATCTGCATTAACTGCTTTTTCCTATTGATGCTTTTGATTTCCTACTACACCACAGTATTAAAGTAAGTAACTTTTATTAATGTGGTCAAAATACGCTTAGCTCATTACAGTATTGCAAGTATCGCTATTTTGCAGGTACTGCCACAAATAAAAATAGCAAAAAGAGGAAAACAAAAACACTAAGATACAATATAAAATATCTATCTGCGATATTAAAATCTGTGAATATGTCAGTAAATAAAAACTATGTACAGTTCAATAATAATTACAATAAAACTATTTACAGATCAATATAACTGAGTGACATCAATTTTTTTCAAGGGTCTTTTAAAGGTACTTAGTTTAGTCTCGCATCTCAATGCTTGTGCTAATGAATTCCACATCTTTGGGGCCAGGTATTGCCAAGATCTCAAACTTTGCTTTGTAGGAGTTAACCTTGGGTAAAGTTAGAATGTCTTTACCACAAAAAGATTATAGGTTGTTGATCTTCGCAGTAGTAAATCCTTTAGGGTTGAGGGAATGTCATTGTGTAGCACCTTAAAGTCACAGCTGGCAATCTTTATGATTCTTTGATCATATAATGAGACAGTTCCTAGTGTCTTAAGTAATTCGGTGGAAGAACTGCTTTGTCTTTAAGCACAAAGTGTGGAGCTTTTTTCGTTTACTTTTTCTAGTTTATTGGATGGGGTTTTGCTGCAGATTTGCCACACGTCAGAGCAGTACTCAAAATGGGGGTCAATAAATGTTTGGTAAATGTTTTTGCTTATCTCAAGAGGTAGAATGTTTCTCAAACGTTTCAATACTGCAAGCTGTTGAGATACATTCTCTTGTCACATTGGTGATCTGATTATCGAATATTTCAGCTTGTTGTCAATAGTGACAACAAGGAGAGTGAGGTTTTCATTAACTGGTATTGTTGTATTATCACAATGGAACTTTGATTTTGGAGTTTGTAAGTTGCCCATGACCATAGCTTGATATTTTGAATGGTTCTGTTTCATCCCGTTTGCATCACATGATGTCACTAAAATTCAAACTACAAAACTGTCGATGCTACTGTTATTTTACTTTCATGATGTATTAGGTCAGCTGAAAACTAATTTTCATACAAATTTTTGCTTCAAAGGGGTTCTTGGTTTTGTGATAGAGTACGCTTGAATTTTTAAGCTTTTGCGTGACATGACATTTACATGATGGGCGAGAGAGCTGTCATGTACGTTAAAAAAGTGACGTATATCGGGAAATTTTGCTATCTTAACAGTTCGTTTATGTTACATGTATTAGAAAAAGTATTACTTTAATGTTTATGAGTTCCTCAAGGAATAAATTCACGCTTTCGTACCAAAATTCGGTAACATATGTTTGTTGGTTTCTGTCGGTCATGTTGGTGCCCATCCAGGTGGGCACCAGCTTGGCGTCTCCATACAAATCTCTATAAATTTGGGTAAACATTTCTTCGAATATCTCATATACGCAATAGTCTTCTGAAACTTGGCGAGGGTCTTTGTATATTTACCTCTATTCTTTTCCCGGATTCCGGACTTTATCTATTGAATGGTTTTGATTTTTATTTTGATCTATTGTGAATGGCATGACACTGAAAACCAGCAATTGAGTAAAACAGGCCCGATTATTGACCCCTGGGGCACCCCTGGTCAGTGTAAGTAAAGCGGTATTGTTTGATTTTTACGTGGACATCCAGTACTTGATTATAGAGGTCAAAGCCAGAATCACTGGTATGTGGCCAGCATGTTTTGAAAGGAAACTAACCATAATTTCTGGTATTGTAAAACTTTATTGGTGATTTAGAATAGAGTTTAAAAGATTGCAATGTAAAATGTACAATTGGTCCTGCATTCTGTTAAATGTGTTATGAGCACCGTTCCACACATGCTGTAAAGTTTATGAAAGTGCATCAGTTTGCTTTTATCCAAAATTGCTCTTCACTAACATCCACTGCCTTACCCTCTCCCTCCCTAAACATCCAGTTCATGTTAAGCGGGGGAAAAGTGAATATGTCGACGGTCCCTTACCATACCGGGTCAACCTTCCGTAAGTTACCAATTTAGGTTAGGAGTATGCGAGGAATACCTATTCAAAGAGGGGTGTTCTAATAGTCCATTGGACTTTCTAGTTTAATACCTGGTGCTATGTACCTGGAAGGTCATGGATTCAATTCCTGCTGGCGTGAGGGCTTGGTTTTTTTTTTTTCAATTGCTTCTTTATACATACTGTAAGTTCTCAAGTAAGGGCTTTGGGTGTTTTTTAATTTGTTTCAAATTTTCATGGCTTGAAATGCATCAGTCAATTCCAGGTGCACCCATGCCCACCTGGGGCAGAGACATTATTAAAAGGCTTAAAACCCCACAGCGTGTACAAAAATGGGGATGCAAATGCCTACCCCCATGATCATCCCCATATATAAACACACTGTACTGTGGCAGCCATTTTCATTCATATTTGCACAGCAGCTCAGAGACACTTACAGCATTTTAATGCGCATTTGCTCATTTCTGTATGTCATTTTTATGTTATTATTTGTTATAGAACAATCCAATGTTACAGTCAAGGCAGGTCAAGTTTTCCCCCCAAGATTCTATTAATGAATTGATTATTTGAAAAAAATGAATCCCTTAGTCGTTCCCGTAACCAGCGTGAAATTCAAATCGGCATTCCTGCATGTGTAATGAGCAGTGAATATTTTACAAGGACTTCTCTGTATAATGGTCAGATTTGCAAATCTTTGAGTGGACAAAATTGCCTTAAAGACGTTAACATCAATTCAGGGAAACTGAGCTGCTAGAAATGTCATAACTGCCTTACATGTGAATTCACAGCTCATTACGCATGCAAGAATGCAGAGACGAATCTGAAATCTATAACCACCAACAGATTCAACTTATGAATAATTCATTAATGGAATCGTGGGGGTACGCTTGACCTGGCTTGACTGTAACAAAGACGTCATCAACAACACCACTACCTGTAAATACTCTTTTTATTATTGTTTTGTAGCTTGTTAGTATAATAAATTGTTAAAATAGTTGCTGTAAAGTTGGCTAATTTAAAAACTGAAATGATATTCTACAGTAACTATGCATCTGAAAAAACACTGATGGGTGTAGCTGGAATTGACTAATTATTTCAGTTTTCAAATTGATAGATCTAATAAAGTTTTGTTCTTCCACAGAGAATGGATTTCAGTTTTAGAACAAGCGAGGGTTCCAGTATGTACTGATTTTATTGTGATTTCCTTTATTCTTACACATTGCAATCATGCATGTTGGCCTGTTTAAGGTGTTTATCCATGCTTTATTGTAAATCTTTGCTCTCTGTGGTGGGTACATAAGTTGTTTTTTCTGCACTTTAATTCTCAGCTTTCATTTGGTGGTGCCCCTAATCCACCAGGAGCTCCTTCATATCCACCTTACAGCGCACCAGGCACATCTGGATATGGCCCTGTACCAAATGCTGCTGCTCCGTATCCTCCCCCTATTGGTTTTAATCCATCTGTCATACATGGAGCACAAGCTCGTAAGATGAATATTTTTTATTGTTATTTTTAATTCAGAAATAAATAAATAAAATTATTTGAATTAATTATGATAATTACACAAATAGTTCTTTCTATATCACAGTGCATGTACATGCAATAAAAAATTTTTTTTTAGTATGATGATATGGTAAGATTAGCTTAATATTATTATTTCATGTGAACAAAAGCTGAAATCTGTACACCCCGTGGATTCAATGGTCCCATTGTAATCTAGATTTAAATTGGAACATCATCATAGGTCTACCTGGAAGTTACAAATGAGAGCCCAACCTACAGCACATACTAGTATGGCACATCCAAGGTGGCAATCCCCTGTTTCTGAAGTTGTGAAGCCTTTACCACTCTTTTTATTGGTATTTGAAAACAAACCTGCTATTGATTTTAGGGCTAGGGACATTGTTTGGATCATGCAGGCTGTCATTAAGCACTGAGGGCCACGGATTTCCCTGGCTACTTTGAACATGGCCCTTGGCTTCTTTCATAGGTCAGGGGAAAAAAGGAAAGTTAAACCAAAAGAACCTCTTAACCTAGCCTTCCAAGCCATCTTACTGACTACTAATTGCAGATACTCAGCTTACAACTTGAAATCATAGTGACAGCCCTGGGTCATTCATCCTTGTTTCATAAGAAAGTCAAACAACTCATTTTGATAGTTTTGTAGTTCTTTCCCCCTCCTTCTCCCCTGGGGTCTCCTCTTCCCTTTAATAGGTACATGTAAACAGTTGAGTAACCAGTCTGAAAATTGACTGACCATTGTGCATTTGAAATCTACTTCCATAGCTGGTCCTCCTCCACCATATTCTCAAGGACCTCCACAACCTCAAGCACCATATGGACAGCCACCACCTTATCCATCAGGTCCACCACCCCAAGGTTATGCACCTTATCCTCAGCCTCCCCCTGTACCGCAGCCTAACTACCCAACACAACCCCCAGGGATGTACCCCCATCAACCACCAACAGGATACCCACAGCAAGTTCCAGGAGGCTACCCACAGCAACCACCTGGACAGTACTACCCTACCCCTCCCCCAGGACATTACCCACAGCAACAGTACTACCCTGCTCAAAATACAACATATGTTCAAGGTGGAAAGCCGCAGACTGTGTATGTTCAGCAGCCACCCAAACAAAATAATGGTCGCAAAAACATGATGATGGGAGCTGCTGCAGGAGTTGTGGGCGGGGCTGCAATGGGTTATATGTTGGGACACACTGTAGGAGGATTTGGACATCATGGTTTTGGGGGGTGGGGATCAGATCATTCTTGGTCCTCAGGTGGGAGCTTTGATTGCGACTTTGATTGAAACTTTACTATATTATTGGGTTGGTTGTTTTAAAATATGTTCTTAGGGTATAGGAAAGTCAGGGTGACAGTGATGGGAATTAATAGGCAAATCTTTGCCGATGTCATTGTTTACATTTTTCATTATTTAGCATATGATGAAAGGCCGTTTATACCAACTAAATTCAAAAGTTGAAAGAGCACATTATCTTGAGCAATTTGTGCAATTTTCAGCTCTTTCCAAGCAATACTGAAGGAAATATCAGCCATAAAAAAACGGCGAAATTGCTAGGTGGCAAAAAAGTTAATGAGCCATACATTCTTTGTAAAATTTGGAGTTTTTAAAAAAGAATTTCTCCAAAACCATTATTTGGTATATCGAGGTCAATTTTTCAGAGATAACTGATTATTGTTATTCTCTTTCAATATGCAGCCGGTTTGTTTTATTATAGCTCCATAAGATAGTGATAAGCATATGTTAATGAGGCAAAAAATGTAAACAAAGATTCGCCTATACTCTGTTGGCTTCAATGGCCCAAATAGCAATAACCTGTGGTTTTTAAATAAACCTATGGATGTTTTTGTTAACCGTCTTACTTTGTCATAATGGGAAAGTTAAGAACTGGAGAAACGGCATCACTATCAGAAAGTGATAAGTGATCATCAGGGGATCATCTTCTGTGGACAAATTCAATAATGTTTTGTTTTTTAGCAAATAATGTAAGCGAAGCCAATAATTAAGTCTGATTTGAATGGTAAGATGCAACAGCAAACAAACATTGACAGAACTACAGTAGAACCTCCTTATAAATTTTGCTAAGTGTAATTTTGTTAAAGAATTTAGCACTAGCAACTTTTTGGAATATGCATTGTGACTATTAAAGCCCTAAAATTTTGTAGCACACTTGCAAAATGTAAAGACTGCACCAGTAAGATATTAAATTAACACTTTTTTGTCTTGGACAGAACATAAAGTCCTGCTTTAAGTCCTCCCATATTTATCCACAATGTCAAATCTTTTTTCCAATGTACTGAACTGTTAAGCACTTTGCCCATAACTCTCTTGTCCTGTGTCAGAAGCACAGCCCTACCACTTCCTGTAGAACAAACTCTAGCCATTTCCTCCAATGCTTTGGGGTACAATGTCCAATTCTCATGTTTAGATCCACTCTTCTTGCCAAAAGGAAGATCAGTAACAAAAACATCAACACTGTTGGATTTGAGAGGGAGGTTGCAAACATCCCACTGGTAAATGTCCAAGGGAAGAGTTTTTCTGTAGAGGAAACAAAGAATAGAATTTTTCTCTACAGTCACTAATGAGTTCCTGCAGCCATAGGGCCTAGTTAAGATATGATGTGGTTCAAGTATTTATTGTTTCAAATTCTATTTCCCTTTGTTTTTGGGTTTTGTAATGTATGATAGAGAAACAAAGGAAAATAATGATAATTATAATGTTTTCTTCTCTCTGTCTGGTTTTTCTTATTTTTCTTCCTCGTCCACTTCACCTCCCACCCAATATACTGGTAATAATTAAGCTAATGATGGGTTGTGTGAAATACTTCCGTTTTCCTTTTAGTCTTCTTTGATTTGTTCATTATAAACTGTTTCGTATGCANAATTAAGTCTGATTTGAATGGTAAGATGCAACAGCAAACAAACATTGACAGAACTACAGTAGAACCTCCTTATAAATTTTGCTAAGTGTAATTTTGTTAAAGAATTTAGCACTAGCAACTTTTTGGAATATGCATTGTGACTATTAAAGCCCTAAAATTTTGTAGCACACTTGCAAAATGTAAAGACTGCACCAGTAAGATATTAAATTAACACTTTTTTGTCTTGGACAGAACATAAAGTCCTGCTTTAAGTCCTCCCATATTTATCCACAATGTCAAATCTTTTTTCCAATGTACTGAACTGTTAAGCACTTTGCCCATAACTCTCTTGTCCTGTGTCAGAAGCACAGCCCTACCACTTCCTGTAGAACAAACTCTAGCCATTTCCTCCAATGCTTTGGGGTACAATGTCCAATTCTCATGTTTAGATCCACTCTTCTTGCCAAAAGGAAGATCAGTAACAAAAACATCAACACTGTTGGATTTGAGAGGGAGGTTGCAAACATCCCACTGGTAAATGTCCAAGGGAAGAGTTTTTCTGTAGAGGAAACAAAGAATAGAATTTTTCTCTACAGTCACTAATGAGTTCCTGCAGCCATAGGGCCTAGTTAAGATATGATGTGGTTCAAGTATTTATTGTTTCAAATTCTATTTCCCTTTGTTTTTGGGTTTTGTAATGTATGATAGAGAAACAAAGGAAAATAATGATAATTATAATGTTTTCTTCTCTCTGTCTGGTTTTTCTTATTTTTCTTCCTCGTCCACTTCACCTCCCACCCAATATACTGGTAATAATTAAGCTAATGATGGGTTGTGTGAAATACTTCCGTTTTCCTTTTAGTCTTCTTTGATTTGTTCATTATAAACTGTTTCGTATGCAATAAGTTGTTATTGTTGTGGTGGTGTTGATTTTATTGTTGAAGTTATCAAAGGGCAACAATGTAAGCCCTTGAAATTAAATTGCCAAAGCAAGCCTTGACCTCATTTTATCATGTCTGCCGTCAGGAGTGGAATGCGGCATAGGTTCTTAAGGGTAAAGGACATTATTAACATTTACTATAAACTTACTTGTTGTTTAACTGTTGTTCAGTTACACTCTGAACATTTGCCAAAGTCCTGGTAGGAGCTAAATCATGATGATCTCCACAGAAGTGTGCAGACTTGGGCCAGTTTAGGGCAGCCTCTATTGGAATGGAGCCACCTCCACACATGGGGTCACAAACAATGTCCCCTGAAAAAGAACAACAGCACTAGTTCATGGTCACTGTTCTAGCACAAAATTCATCCCGAGATTAACAATAGCTGATATGTGTTGTGTTGGATGTTAGAACTACAAATAATTTGACCATCACTGAGCTTTGTTTTGAAATTGTGCATGTATGCTTAATGAGATGCAAAGAGTTGTCCACATATGAAGCTTTGTCCTTATTTTATCCTTGTGTATTGGTGGGTGTGTGTGTGTGTGTGTGGGGGGGGGGGGGTAGTTTAAACTAAGGGGAACTGAACCACGACAAATACAAGTTTTTATGAATTATTTTTGCTTCTTAAAGTGAGTTGTGTCATGAAATTTATCAAATTCAAACAGTGAAAGCTACCGCCACATTGAGTGAAACAAAAAATTAATAACCACTTAAAAGATTTAAAGAAGAAATAAATAACACAGCAAATATATAGGCATGGGTGATCAAATTCGAAGAAGACCAAAATGGATTGTAATTATTGCAGTTTTTGAAAACTCGTCAGCCTAACAGTTTTTCAAGGTTCATTAAAAATTTTAATTAAGCGTGCCTCATGGAACACTACTCCCATGCTGGCATGTCATTTCACAAACTCCCTATTGTTTAGCATGCCCGTGCATTCACCTTATTCCCTGAAATCCCATGGAGGGTCACATTTGATATTACCGTATTTATTCAAATAAGCGTCCAACCTCAAATTAGTGCCCACCTCAAATATGCGCCCATCCTAAAGGCAGAAAAAGTTAATAAGCGCCTAACCTCGAATAAGCGCCCACGCCACCTCCCCTCTCCCTCCAACTCAAACTCAAATAAATATCCACCCACCTTCCTCCCAATAAGATAGTTCCCCAAAGATGGGGTTCTCTTCAGAGTATTTTACAGAAACCTTACTTTGTTACATCTTTGCGTTTTGTTATTACCATTCATTGTTTTGTTGCAAAATAAACATACTACACTTGCTGAAAATGGTGAAAATTTAATAAGAGCCCAGCCTTGAATAAGCACACGCCTCGAATAAGCGTCCACTCTCAAGGTCCAAAAATTTAATAAGCACCTAGGGCGGTTAATCGAATAAAATACAGTATGCTTTGGGAGAGACGTTTGGTACGAAGCTGTGATTTAGTCATTTACAAGTAAATTCCTTGCTAACATTAGACCTGTTCCTTAGCAAGTAAAGACACATTACTGAAAATACTGAACTGGACAGCCATGACATGGCCCCTTTAAGTTGTTCTGTTGAACGTGCAACTTTATTTGTGATTTTACTTCAACTACTTTTTCCTACCTGGCTGGATATTTGCCAGCTGAAGCATGCAATAAGCTATAGAAGACTTCAATGTTGTTGGCCCAAAGTGAGTAATGTTTCGTTTTCCTCTGCTTTCTTTGGTTAACGCAATACCAATAACAACATTTCCATTGACAATATTGAGTAGAACTTCAATGTCTGGATTGCTAAGGTTCACACGCCAGCCAAACCAGTCATTTATCCCTCCTCCAAACTTGGCTGCAGCCTCCGGGGATGAAAAGCTGTGTTTATTTCCAGTACGGGTGCATGTAACACGGAATTGCGGCAGTAGGTTGGAGGTAAAGGATTTATCACTTGATGAATTTTGAGTCAACTGAAAAAGGAGACACAGCTTAATTTAGTACAAATACCCTGAGAATACTGCAGAAATACATGTACATATACTGGTACAACCAAACAAAATTCTACTGCTTTCATTGTGCGCTGGAACCTCAATATAANACCAATAACAACATTTCCATTGACAATATTGAGTAGAACTTCAATGTCTGGATTGCTAAGGTTCACACGCCAGCCAAACCAGTCATTTATCCCTCCTCCAAACTTGGCTGCAGCCTCCGGGGATGAAAAGCTGTGTTTATTTCCAGTACGGGTGCATGTAACACGGAATTGCGGCAGTAGGTTGGAGGTAAAGGATTTATCACTTGATGAATTTTGAGTCAACTGAAAAAGGAGACACAGCTTAATTTAGTACAAATACCCTGAGAATACTGCAGAAATACATGTACATATACTGGTACAACCAAACAAAATTCTACTGCTTTCATTGTGCGCTGGAACCTCAATATAAAGAAGGGCCAAGGGACTGGCAAAAATTAATTTGTTCGCTATAACAAGGTTTCGTTATATCGAGGTCCTTTTTCATATATTTTACTATTTACTAGGGTAAAGAAAATTGTTTGTTATACCAAGGACTTTGTTATATACAGGTTCATTATCAATGTTCCACACTGCTTGACTTGAAAACAAAGTTTTGTGTGTTGTTTTAGATACATACTGTACTGGAAAGTCTCTATAGTCATGAAAATTCACCCACCCATGAATTTACACTTAATTAAACCCACTGTACATGTAGTTGATAGGAAGAGCCAAAACAATGTTGTGGCGATAAGCATTATTTTTAGATGTCCCTCCCTTAGCAGATGTCTTGTGCTCCCTCATCCTTGTGGTTGCAAGAAAAAAAAGGATACGTCTATTCTGCCGTTGGCTAGAAGTATCCTTGTTTGCAGGTGGCATCAATGGCACAAAGTTGGTGAAAAAGATCAAAGTTTTTTCTCTGCTGGGAACTCAACTCTAAACACCTTTTTAGCTTGTATGTTTTGTTTTCCCAATAGGCCCTTTGCATCTAGCCATTCACGTGGTACAAGACCAAAACACTTGAGAGCAAAAGTTATACTGGGACAAGACAAACAAAGGAAATTACCATTAATTTTAAAAGTATATATGCCTTTTGTTTGCTTGTCCCAGTGCGCCTTTTGCTCTCCCGCATGACGGTTTTGTACTACGTGAATAGCTTAAACTGCAAAGGGCCTATTCAGCTCATGATGTTCTCCAGGGAGTTTGCCTTCTGAATTATGCATGACATTTCGTGAAAGAAACACTTCTTTGCATGAGGTATCAATGGAATTTCTGCAAAAAACTTGTATCGCCTTTACAACCAACTAATATGGTCACCTTGCTACGTGGTTTACAGAACAACGTCATTATTTTCACTGCCAATTCTTACTTCAAACTTATCCTCATTTGAATCTTCACCGCCATGTTTTATCTTTTTTGCAGGAGCTTCTATAACGTCTTCTTCATCAACAACTTTATCATTACCACCTTCTCGTGAATTTTGCTCATCTTCAACTTCAGAGCACTTGTTGTCTACAAACGACTGGCATCTCTTTTTCATATCTTCATCAGGCGCAGGTGTCTCACTTCTGAAAAGCATTCCCGTATACCCTGTAAACTGCTTCCATAGAGAAAGCGCCACCTTCCAATCCAGTACTTGAGGTAATTTGTACAGTTTCTCGAGAATCTCTGGGCTGAAGCAATCGAGTTCATCGTTGTTTTCTTCGTATTCTTTTACGACAACAAACAAGTTCTCAATAGAGCGAAGGTTTTTTAGCTGAGAAAAAAAATTTGTCGGGATATCAAAGTATACACGGCCTCTTCCCTCCCTTATAGATTTACAATCTAGTTTTTGTCTGCATTCCGAGACAGCAACAGATTCTAAACCTGTCGAAACAGTAGCGCACACCGTTACAACCACATCAACACCGTCCGCCATTTTGCCTTACTTCACACTGTCTGCATTATGTAAACCCACACAGGACGTCTCTACTAATGAGACATCGTGACGTCACTGAAAGAATAGGCGCTACTTCCGCCTTGGAGATGTTGAAAATGGCGCTGTTTCATAGCCAAGCGTGAGGTTATTAAGCTGGTTTTCCTGAATATTGAAGCTTCAGAACAGGGTGGTTTCTCTTTGAGCAGAAAAGTGTAGTTCCGAAATCTTCTTCCGAGAAGGTCAGTGACATGATTATAACCGCAGTTTCAAGTTAGGTCATTTTCGTGTTACTATTTTCTCCTAACAGTTTGGATGATTGCAAGGTAACATTTTATTTTAGCGAAATTGGTTTGGTGTTGAAACTCGAAACTTGGTACAAGAGTAGGTTACTTCTATGGGAAAGCTGCTATAAATTAGCATGATTAAAATGATCTTTTGAATTGTGTTTAGTAAGCATATAACACCTTGCTAACCAATGCATTTCAAGGCGTGGATTTAATGGAATGGAATGCCGCCCTGATTGAATGGTTTGAATGGGTCGCTTATGCCACTGAAAGCACGTTGCTATCAAAGAGTAGTGAAGTAATCTCGAGCAACAGAACATAAAAGAGTGGCCATAGGCCCTTTACAGCTAGCCATTCCAGAGCCTTAGCTAGCGGGGGGTGGGTGGGGGGAGGGGAAAGCAAAAGTCGCCCTGGGACAGGAAAACCAGGAAAACATACATATCTTTCAGTGGGTATTTCCTTTGTTTGTCTTGTTCCTGTGTTACTTTTGCTCCCCGTCCCGTCCTGTTTTACCCCATGAAACGCCAAGGGGGGAGGGGAGAGCAAAAGTCGCCCTGGGACATGAAAAACAGGAAAACATACATAACTTTAAGTGGTAATTTCCTTTGTTTGTCTTGTTCCAGTGTGACTTTTGCTCCCCATCACGGCCATTTTTACCACATGAATAGCTAGCTGCAAAAGGCCTATTGTGGGGAGGTGGCTGTTGTATTTTAAGAGGTTTATACCACGTGACATTGCTTTTATCCCATCCACCCTAAAGCGTGTAGTATGGGACCAGGCTCCAGGTAGTCTAAGGAGGGGAAAAGGGTGTCGCCCCAGTCTCCCCTTCATTTCCCCCCCCCCGCCCTCTTTTTCCCTGCATACGATTCAACTCACTCCCCACCATCTGAATGCCATGCTCTACTATCTGAATACCTGGAACAGGTTAACATTAGGTGGCATCTAGAAGCTTGGTGCAGTGATGTCCCCCATCGTTGTATCCAGGTGCAGTGTAATACTGTGTTTATGAATTGTTCTTACAATGTACAGCTGTAAATAACTTACCCATGCTATGGTCCAAAGCTTATCCCTGACAACATAGTTTATATACTTGGGTCAAACTGCGATAACAAATAGGACTTTAGTTAAGCTTGGGTCGGAATTGATATTAGAGTTAAAACCTTATTATCCTTGTGTCCAGTTCCTTTCAAAAAATAACTTCGGTGACAGTAGTTTTGGTACAAATAGCTCGTCTGCATGACAGTATGGCTATTTGGCATGAAGGAATGCTACTGTGCAAAATTTCTATCTGAAAATATTTGCTCCAGTTAATATTAAAGAGTATTGACTGCAAAATATAACAACGACCTTATGACATCACTCTATTAGCATTCTGTCATGAAGAAAAGTCCAGTCACAGTTCTGAAAGAAGATGACATGACATCAGCTGCTGAAGGTTCTCTTCAATTTGGTGATGACAATTTAAGAGGTGGGAATAAAAAATGGTGCAAGGCGCACAAAAGCCAAAGGCTCATACGGCCGGAGAAAGCATAAAGCATAAAGCATGCCTAGGAGTATTGCTACCCTTGTTTTGCACTGCGCATCACATAGTGCGCATAACTTTGCCACGTTAAAGGTGACATTGATTTTCACCAGTCACTTAAAAAGGTCTAAAAAGAGATAACAATGGTCCCTTATGTAGTCCTAATGCTTTTTATCGCGATTTTGATTACTCTACGCGGCTGAAAAGGTGTTTGTCTTGAAACTCGCCCCAGTCCCCTCGCGCAAAATGATTATTTAAAGCCAAAATTATCCTTTGTCGTCGTTTTGCCATGAAACGAGAACGGTGATCCTCCTTTTTTATTTGTGTTTTCTACTCGTTATGGCCACACAAAAAATATGTATTAAGGAGAAAAAAACCTGGATAGTAGAATTTGTGTTTTTTTAGAGCCACAGCGAGGTAAGAGATAATGATTTAACAGTCCATTTCTCTACAGTTTTTCACGATCGGGTAATTTGGTAATTTGAATTGAAATATAGTCCAGACCATCAAACAGGCCTAAGGTTTTAGAGAGATTCATAGGTTTTTGCTATAAAACAAGAATTTATCACGGTTGTTTAAGTTTCGAACTCCTGGTGCGCAACTAGGAAAAAACACTCAGAATTACCCTATCTTTTTATTGCAGTTTTTGAATGTCCAATATGTGGCTGAGACTTGTGCCAAGTTTGAAAAATATCTTGATAGTAAATCATTTTCAAGGGAATTACTTTAAGAAATTGAAACCAAAAAGGTTGTTATTACGATAACACTGAAACATTTGGAAGTGGAGCACAAAAAAATTTACTGACGACGCAACTTTTATTTTAAAAGTTTGCCTAAATTTATTGCCATTTCCTTTGTTATAGCAATTGCAGAGGTTTACAAGAATGAGGGTAACGATGAATACAACAAGAACAATTTCAACAGCGCCATTTTCTTCTACACTGAAGGAATTAAAGTGAACTGCAAGGATGAAGATCTTAACGCGAAACTGTACAGCAACAGGGCAGCGGCACACTTTAACTTGGGTGAGAAGTTGCTTTATATTGGTTGTTTTAAATACCTTATCTTTTGTCGAATGAAAGTGATGTAGGCAGCAACTTGCAAAGGATTTCCGTAGTTGTTTTAAAGACGTTGTTAAAGTAGTTCTAGAGCCACCCCTCCCCTCTATAGCTTTCTAGGCTGTTACAATTCTGTTTGCGCATTTCTTTTTTCACAGGAAATTACTTTGAAACAGTGAGTGATGCAAAAATTGCCATTGAATTTCAACCAACTTTTTTGAAAGCTTTTGTGCGAGGTAAGATTTGAAGTTACTATGTACAGATACGGTCGAGAAAAGGACTGAAGCAAACCTTGACTCCATGTAGGTTATCTTATCCAGGGTACGGAATCCAGAATCCCAGACTGCCTGGGATTCCCTTACATGGGATGGAATGACCTGCAAACAGGAGAGGACACTTTGTCAGCTTTTTGGGCCTGGTGACAGTTTGCAGTAATTCTGCCCACGCGCCGAGAGCTCCGACCCGCCATACTCTTTACATCTTGTTTATTTCGATCGTCATTCTCAGTAAGGGTAGTGCATTCTTTCTATCCACACCTGATATCACTTACACCAGTCTCTTGTCGAATCCAAGTGTTTCGTTTTCGATCTCGAAGGGTAATGCCTAGCATTATGTGTTCCATCTTGCACTGTGCAACCGCAAGCTTTTCCATCACATAGCGTTGTTCAGTGCCCATGTCTCGCAGCCATATGTCATTACTGGTAGAATGTACTCGTCGTGCCTGCCTTGCGGCTTCCCATGATGTCATTCACTTTACGAAAGGCTTCCCAACCAATTGCGATCCTCCGCCTAATCTCAGGAAGCAGATCATCATCTCGCGTCACCGTCTTTCCTAGATATATATAGCTGTCTACCTCCTCGATGATTTTACCATCAACAGTTATTGTGGATAACCGTAGTTATCCCTCCAAATTTTTTAAACGGTCATCTTTCAAATGTGTCGAATGAGCTTTACTCTACGATTACAATTCGCAATAGTTGTGTCCATTTAAAAATTAAGCCTTTAAAAAATGTTTTAAGCTGACGTCTTTGTTTATGCCTTAACAGTGGCAAGTGCCTGCATTCAGCTGAAAAAGTTTGATGAAGCCAATACGTGGTGTGATAAGGGATTGGCAGTATCCTTTACTGGAATTGCTATTATTTAATTGTTATTCCCCCTAAACATTCCTTTGACGTTGAAAAAGTATTTTGTGAAGGTCCAGGTGTAGGTCTAAACCTGTCATAATCGGCTGCTCACCAAACAGAACTCTACAGCGCCACGAATGATCCTGAGGCCTTAAAATAATTATCCCACTGAGTAAGAGAAGACAGCAATTGACAATGGAGAGATTTAGATTCACGTTTACGCCAAACGGCAGACTTGAATTTGTACCACCTGACCAAGTTTTCCCCTTATTTTCCGTTTACTCTTTATTGTTTCTACACAAAAATAAGTTGTTTTATGCCAACTTTAACCATAGGAATCGTTAGGGGCTGTTTTTATCTGCTTATTTTCTATTCTGAGAAAACCTCAACTTGAGTCCGACGTTTGCCGTTTGCGGTAAACGTGAATCTTAATCTCTCTAATGACGTCATTTTACTACAACTACCGGAATCCTTCAGTTCGTTCTATTCTTGTGCAAGTTAAGGCTTTTCCTTATCAAACCCCAGCCGCATTGACAAATTTAAACACATGAACTGGAAAGCAAAAACAAAGTGAATACTGGTAGTTGTAGTCAAAATAAAGTGTGGTCATCGTTAAAATGGCCTATTGATCCCGCTTAAAACTATGGAATAAAATGGACGTTTTTCCTAATTAGTATGTATAATCAAATGGTGACGAATGAATGGTGACGTCACCCGCGTTTTGTCTAAATTGTAATAAGAATCATAATTTGGACAGAACGCGCGTGAACTGATTATTCTCTAATTTCCCGAGTTTACCATGTGATTACCCATCAATATCAGGAGTGAAAAATTACTTTCAAAATTGTGCGTTTTTAACTTGTTTATCGTAGCGAGAATTCCAGGCACTGAAAAATTTAGAGAATAAATTATGGCTTAAAAATTTGTGATATTATAAGCTTTCTGAAATTAAAACACAGCATATTTGGAGAGCTTTTTCCCTAGGGAAAAAAATGAAAATCCATTCAAGTGCGCGCCGTAAATGGAACGTACTGTCCAATTACTTATTCATGACGCGTACTCTCCTATTACTCTTTCTTATTAAATAATGGTAATAGGACTGAGTGGAGTCCAGTTCGGTCCGTAATCTTACGAGTGATTTACAAAATCGGACGACCGCTTAGCGGGAGTACGACTTGCCGTTTAATCACGAGTATGATTACAGACAGAATTGGACGAAACGAAGTTCTGTTACCAATTACAGTCAAGGGAGGTCAAGCGTACCCCTTAAGATTCTATTTATGAATTGGTTATTTGAAAAAGGAATCCGTTTGTCGTTCCGGTAACTAGTGTCAAATTCAAATCGGTATTTCTGCATGCGTAATGAGCTGTGAAAATTCTACGAGAACTTCTCTGTATTTGGTCAGATTGAAAATCTTTGAATGGGTTAAATTTCATAGAAAACATTTACATCAAATTCACGGACACTTAGCTGGTAGAAATTTCGTAACTGACTCGCGTGTGAATTCACGGCTCATTACCCATGCAGGAATGCAGACATGAATCTGAAATCTACGACTATCAACGGATTCAACTTTCGAATAATAAATTCATTAAAGTAATCTTGGGGGGTACGCTTGACTTGGCTTAACTGTAACCATAACTATAACAAAATTTCTGATGTTTTAGCCCTCTTGAAAATCATAGTCAATCTACAACCCTACACAACAATCAGTGAAAAATAAAGCAGGTATTGCATGAATAAAATTGGAGGAAATTGTAGTGGTTATCATAAGTATAGGTAAAAGCATGATTTGTACTAGTATTTGGCATAAATACCACGAGTGACATTTCGAAATTGTTGTACGTAATTTCACGAGCCGTTAGGCGAGTGAAATTTGAGACAATTTTGAAATATCACAAGTGGTATTTATGCTAAATATCAAGTACAAATCATGCTATTATTTGTTTATACTACTACCCGCAAAAGGTTTGTAATTTCCACATGTAGGTATTTGAAATTAAGCTGAAATACAACTGCTCTAAGCCAATCAAATTGCAGAAATTATTTTCTAATGTAGTAGTATAAACGCTGAAATTTCGCGCCAAAATTAATATGAAGTACTATTAATTATTTTTTCGTTGTTGTACAGTACGTACTTTACGGTTGCTTTTTTTATCGCCAAAGAATCATCACACAACTAAAGATAATTGGTTTAAAGTTTGTTAGCTTTGTCTCCTATTTATATAAATTATTGAACAAATTAACTGATACAAGATAGACCCGAATAACCAGAAGTTGTTAGAATTACGGAAAACCGCTTTGGGAGAACAAGGGAAGCTGCCAGAGAACCACGAAAAAAAGGTAAAGAAAGAGAAAAGACTTAAAAATTCAAATCATTATTGTATTTGTTTTGTTTAAAGGGCGGTCTTGGAGTTAGGAGGGGAAGTGACGTTTCTCGGCCCTCTCGGCTAGTGAATTTTGCTCTTTTAGGGTAGCTGCAAGATAGCTCTAACGTGAAAAAGCTTCTATACTTGCCCAGTTATTCAACTTGACAAACATTCGCACTTCAAGATTAAAACTGGAATTGCGGGACGGGATTTAAGCGTAAGGAAGATCATCGAAGTTATGGGTGCAACTCTTTTTTTTAGTTTTTAGTTAGTTGCGAAAAAAGCCTGAACATATTCATGCTTGTACGGAATTGGAACCCTTGCCTTTGAGCTAACACAGAAGCCAACTCGGAGCTGGCTTAATTAAGCATTATTTTCCCGAAAATTTTAGGTTTCCTTTCTTTTATGAAAATAGCCTAACCTGAGGAGTGAAATGTGAAAAATTAAATTTCAGAAAATCTCGGGGAATTTTATAGATTAGCTTCGAAATTTGTACATGAATGGAACGTTCATCTTGAAATTTTTAGCCTTCTTCAAGTAATAGAAAATTTTAGGTGATATTTGCTTCTCCGAACATATATTTTACAGAAAACAGTCGTTGGGTTCCCCCTGATAAGAACTGCATGACATCGCTCGCGCTCTAGCCAGAGTTGCTGAATTAAAATGGGGGGATGGGTAGGGCTTGCCATCAAGGGGCGGGGGTGCTTTTGCACTTTGATTGGGGTTTCAAGTTTGAATGTTAAGCGCAAAGTCTCAAATGTTCCCTGCAGGCTATTCCCGCAAATCATTGCTCTGACTGATAATCATAATGCTAATTGCGGAGCCCGTGGAGTGAGTGGCTAGTCATGATTGTCATGGGTGGGGATGGTGAGTTCGTGGTTCTTGGACCTGGCTCTCTATGGGTGGGCACCTTGTGTCAAATCCATTCAGACATATATTGTGCGTAATTTGTTTCCCAGAAAACTGGCACGAAGGCGACATACACAGCTAAAAAATTGAAAGACGATGAGGCGTATGGTGATTTTGGCAATGCCTATAACAGTTTGGGAGGGTTCAAAACAATCATAGACTACCATGAACGTATCCTGGAAATTGCGAGAGAATTGGGTGACAGATGGAATGAGGGAGCCGCGTATGGCAATCTTGGCAACGCCTACCAAAGTCTTGGAGATTTTAAAAGAGCCATAGACTATCATAAACGTTGCCTGGAAATTGCAAAAGAATTGGGCGACAGATCAGGACAAGGAAAGGCGTGTGGAAATCTTGGTAACTCCTATCGCAGTCTGGGAGATTTTAAAACAGCCGTAGACTACCATGAGGATCACCTGAAGATTGTTAAAGAATTGGGTGACAGATCAGGGGAAGGAAAGGCTTACGGCAATCTTGGCAATGTCTTTCACAGCTTGGGAGATTTTAAAACAGCCATAGACTACCATGAACGTCAACTGAAGATTTCGAAAGAATTGGGTGACAGTTCAAGTGAAGAAAAGGCCCATGGCACTCCTGGCAGTGCGCATGACCATCTCGGAGATATTGAAACAGCTGTAGGGTACGATAAACGTGGCCTACCAATTGCGAAAGAATTGAGTGACAGATATGATGAAGGAGTCGCGTGTGCCAATCTTGGTAACGCCTATCAAGGCCTGGGAGATAATACAAAAGCGATAGACTTCTATGAACGTCACCTGAAAATTGTGAAAGAACTGGGTGACAGACAAGGGGAAGGATCCGCTTATGGCAATCTTGGTATCGCTCATCATAGTCTGGGAAACATTAAAACAGCGATAGACTACCATAAACGTCACCTAAAAATTGTGAAAGAAATGAGTGACAGATCAGGGGAAGCATCGGCTTGTTGCAGTCTTGGCAACGCCTATCAAAGTCTGGGAGATTTTAAAACAGCAATAGACTACCATAAACGTACCCTGGAAATTTCAAGAGAACTGGGTGAAGTATTGCAAGAGGGAATAACGTTTTCAAATCTTGGTTCTAATTTTGCATGTCTAGGCCAAGTTCCAGTGGCTATTGAATATTACGAGCTCGGTATTTCTTTGTTGAATAGTATCAGAGATCGTCCCCAATTGCACGACGAGTGGAAAATAAGCTTACGTGATCAGTACCAAAGACTATACACTGCACTCTGGTGGCTGATATTAAAAGAAGGGAAGGTTGCGGAGGCTTTGTTTTCTGCTGAGAAAGGACGGGCACAGGGGTTAAAAGACCTTATGGCACTAAATTATACATCTGAAGAGAATGATGCAGAATTAATTCAAGAAAATAGAACCTTTCAGGAACTGTGCAGTGGCCTTCCTCCGAATACAATATTTATGGCGATCGTAGAGAAGGAATTAATTCTATGGGTCTGTCAGCGCGAAAAAGAGGTTGAATTGAGAAGAAAGCAAGTCAGTTGTGAATATGAGATCAACACTTTCTTTCAGTCTCTTTTGGAAAAAATTGGTGCAAGAGAGGATGTGCAGTGTGAAGATCGCTCACTTGATTTGACGAAGAATAAAAGATTGGCAGATAAACAGTCACCTAAATGTGATAGACAAACTCAAGACTTGCACTCTCAAGAAAGAGCCTTGAGCACACTGTACGACATTATCATTGATCCTATCCAAGATCTTTTGTCATGCAGTGAAGTCATATTCGTCCCAGATGGTCCACTTTGCTTAGCTCCATTTGCTGCATTCAAGGGACCAGACTCCAAGTACCTTTGCGAATCTTTCAGAATTCGCGTGGCTCCATCCCTCACCAGCTTAAAAATGATTGCGGATTGTCCGGTAGATCAAGTCGGTGATCCGTGGGTGCAAGATGTGACGACGTTAGAACAGTTGCCATTTGCCAGACAGGAAGTAGAGATGATTGGTAGAGTACTTGGCTGTACGCCTCTTATTGGTAGACAGGCCACAAAGGATGAGGTGTTAAAACGACTCGGCTCAGTTGCTTTGGTCCACTTCGCTGCACATGGCAGCATGGAAGCGGGAGAAATTGCCTTAGCACCCAAACATGATGACATGGATTTTATTCTGACGATGAAAGATGTAAAGCGTGTTCAGATGCGTGCAAGGCTGGTTGTACTCAGTTGCTGCCACAGTGCTCATGGCGAGATCAAAGCAGAGGGTGTGGTCGGCATAGCACGGGCATTTTTAGGTGCTGGTGCTCGCTCTGTTCTGGTATCATTGTGGGCGATTGACGACAAGGCCACTCTTGAGTTTATGAAACATTTCTATCAGCATCTTGTGGAAGGAAAGAGTGCTAGTAAAGCCGTAAACCAAGCAATGAATTGCATGAAAGAACACAGAGAATTTGGCGCTGTTAATCGCTGGGCGCCGTTCGTTCTCATTGGTGATGATGTCACATTGGAATTTGGTGGGAGCAAATAGTTTACCTACAATGTCGAGGTAATGTGATTCTTTAATTATTTTACCCTTTACGAGAAAATGGTTTTTAATACTCAGGTAAACTAAATGAACCAAATCAACACAAAGGCAAGTAAAGGGAGAGATTAAATTAGTAGCGCTAGTATAATATAAGATCATGTATTCCACATTTATCATGCTAGCAATTTTTTCAAGGCAGTATTTTTACGCAGTTTGTACATTTTTTTAAGCAAAAGATATTGGACGTCATTGCTGCTCAGCTGCTTCAAAATGTGACTTTAATACCGGTACAAGGTCTTTCAATCGTCTCAGCAAAAGACCGATACAATTATAATAGTACAATTATATAATTTCAAGATTGACATATAGTGGAACACATTATCACGTTAAGAACCTTTACAAGGTTTGAGTAAGTTTAAGTCGTCACAATGCATGAGACTCCCTTGCACTCAGCCTGTAAATGGATTCTTTAGGGCGCACTGAGCGTTATCACATATAACGACAATAATCAAATAATGAAGGTACTTTTTGTGGGTTAATATGTTGCGGGTGACCAAGAGGAGTCCGCAATCATAATCCTCAGGTTGGCAAAAAAAAACTAGCACGCGCAGGCACCTTTATCGGAAACATTTTAACTTTTTTGGGTGAATTCTACCTCGAATAATAAAAATGTAAAAAACATTCAGTGTTACGCGTTACGTTACGACGTGTTTACCAAGAGGACGCACATGTCATCAGCTTTGGAATTTTGCAACCCTTCAAAGTGTTACACACGAGGCAGTAAAACGAAACGTTCTGCTGGCTTACGACTGAGTGGATTGTACAACTATTTGTAAGATCATTCTTTATCCTTTGCGGAGGTATGTTTGATTATTAGGGACGGCCCATTGGTGAGTGCATGAGCGGGGAGGAAACGAAAAAAAAATCCATCCCGTAAAAGAAACACTTAAAAAATGCGTACAGCCGGAACATGCACTGAACAACATTTCTTCAAAGAAAAAAACAACATTCAAACATAGCGAACAAAATAACCTTTTTTCAATCTCCTGGTGTCATTTGCATAAAATGAGTTTACCTCGGACTTAATCAAGTAACGTCCTATGTCCATCTTAGTCAAACTGACTGTCTATTTTAACGCCAGACGTGGCAGTTGCATAAGATCTTAAGTCCGTACGCAACTTATCCCCGAAAATCCTCCAAGTTAACCTTCCCTCAGAATAATTCTATTCATGTCGCACTTATTCCTAAACCTTCGGTCAATTCTGGTTTTTATTTTTTGCCTCATAGGTACGACGAAGGATCTGTATTTCTGTATAAACCAGCTAAGAATCATTTATCTTGGTTTAGGTAGACACTCAATGGAAATGTATCATATTCAGCGTGCCCTTCATGTATGTAACAAAGACGTTTAAAGTAGTTTCTTTTTTAATATGTTAAGGCTTAGAGAAAATGTTTATCTACTCGACCTATAGTATATTGATATTTTCAAAATAAGACTTTTTTCCTTGTCTGTGGAATATTTTTAGTATTAGATTAAATATGAGAGGGGAAATCTGTATGGGCGTTTACGATGGCGAGCCTTCAGGTCCCCAATGTATAACCCACACAGATCAGTTGGAAAATTTTATCGAACTTTTGAATTCAAACAATAAGTAGAGATCTTTAGCTGATCTTTATCTAAGTTAACTCATTAACGCCATTAATTATTGTGGTTGACCACAGGCATCCCAAACTCACTAATCGAGCGCTTGTTAAAAATTAATACTTCTGGCAATGTTACGTAACGAAACGATTTATAGGGTTCATGTGGAAACAGTGAAAATTCGAAAAAAAACTCGCATTATCTTAGCTTATTGTAATGAAACGAAATAAAGTACACTTACTTGTGCTCTATTTTGTGTCCTTGTGTATTCCTGAGGCGATTTGGGCTGGTTTTGCTATAATGTCTTAAAAGGACTAAAGCTATCGAGTAATAAGGCGAGTTCTTTCGTATTTTTTCTGTTCCCATAGAACTCTATGGATCGCTTCGTTACTCAACATTGCCAGTAGTATTAATTTTTAACAAGCGCCGGCTTAGTGAGTTTGGGATGCCTGTGGGTGACAAAGGAGTACATGCATGTGAGTCAAATACTACCTGCTGATTGATCATTGCCTTGAAATATTTTAAAATTGATGAATTTTACAGGAAGTATAAAGACAGGTTAGGAAGTTGGGTGCTTTCTACCGACTGTGTCGATAAAGAAGAGCAGAATTTCGAATAGACTGCGAGCAGTCTCTCTTTTGGTCTGTTTAGTGAAGTGTTAAAGGTAAAATTTGTCACAAGACTTAGCTCAGGACGGTAGATCTTACTATAAATTTAAGAAAGCGTGAACACAAGGAATAATTCTGGAATACTATCGTGCGACAAGGAAAAGGCCAATCAGGTGCAAGAAAACTAAACCGCATTCAACAACGGTAATTATTTTGTGCTTTTGTGTCTTGCTGTCGTGATTTTTCGTAACGCCATAATTATTTCTAACATACCTCAGATGCAGGAGTCATTATCAAATTTGAGATTAGAAATGGCTAATTTAAATTTGCTTAATCTGGGATAGCTATTGCATAACTTACTACCCTGATAGGAGGGAGAATGAAGCCCATAGCTGGTAGTGTTTACTCTAAACACGGTTAGGATATCTACGCCTCACAGATCTATGTCACAATTTCGAAAAGTAAATTGCTTAGAAATATGTTCAGGGGTTAAACCTTGTTAAGCCTTGTTAAGTTAAGCCTTGTTAACCCTTGTTAAGTTAAGGTATTAAATGTATTTTTCTAATGAACAATGTAGGGTGTTTAATGTCTTAAAGGGACTGTGACACGCTTCTGCGCATGAGCGGCAACTTGATTTCTGTTCTGGCGAACAGTTTTTCAAGATTGGCCTTTTGGTGAAGAAGTCCTCTTCCATCGACCCTGAGAGGCCCGAGAAAGCCATAATATCAGTATTCAAGAGCTATTTGGTCCATTTGGGAAGTTTTAAACGCCATATTTTGTATTTTTGCGCAAGTGTTGTCGAGAAAATTCGACGCCATTGAGGAGAACCGTACCTGCTTTCATCATCATTATAAATAAAACGCAAGGTGCGTTGATTAAGTTTTCCAGTTTATCTTAATTGCGCCGACCACAGTAATCACAGATAACAGAACAATAAGTTAAATGAGGCAAAATACATGCATTGTACAATCTAAATTTATTATTCACATCAATGATTAAATTTTTTATGCCGCTATATAAGATCTGAATTTGTTTGTCAACCTTAAGTACAATACCTGCGATTTGCTTAGAGAAATGTCAGTCCTTATCTAACGTAACTCCCAAAAGTTTAATCTCTTCAGTATTACCAATCACATTAGAATTTATAAAGAATTCAGGTGTATCCCTCCACCTGAAGATAGATAGATAGACTAGGTTTTATTAAGTTACTTTGCAGAATAATCTGAATTGCGCAAATTTACAAATCTAAAAACATATCCTGCGCTACAAATATAATGCATTACTAATTACTACTTTGTAATTAAAAAACCTTAAAATGTAAACTCGAAGTCATCAATATATTGCGTTAGAGCTACTGTTGTTGATAAAAGTGTCCGCAAATCTCTTTGTTTTAGTTTTTTTAGTAGGCCGAAAATCATCTGTCTCCTTAAATTATAGGCTGGCCTGCTGCACGGGTAGCAATCCGTGAATCTTATAGGATGGGTTGTTAACAACTGATTGGAAAAGCTGATTGAGATCATCAGAAGGAACCTGTGCACGTTCCAGTTGAACAAGAAAGTATTTTCGACTGGCATGCTTTTCTCTCCGAGCCCCACAGTGTGGTCGTCCCAAGTTAAGTTAGCATTGATCATAACTCCTAGTAGCTTTTCGCGCTGAACCGATTCGATAGAACTTTTGTCAATACATGCCCTCGAGAACGGTGCATATTGACGACTGAAACTGATGGTGAGTTCCTTTGTCATGTCGCAGTTTATCTCAAACAGATTTGCCTTCGGCCTGTAATGTATTAGGTCCACTAGATCATGACAGTGTCATGAGCCTTGCTCTGCTGACCTTCGGGTATAGTCACCGATACCGTGTTGTCGTCAACGTATTTCCACATGTTGAAGGTGCTGTGGACAGACAAGTCATTATCATGAGGAGGACTAAAAAAGCCAAGGGCCAAACTTGGTCCCTGAGGGCGCTCCAGATGGTACTTTACCTTACTCAGACAGACAGTCCTTGCTGAGTTTGACTCTCTGGAACCTGTCTGAAAGGAAGTCGACAACCCAATTGATGATACTGTTAGGAACGTTAATCTGTTTCAATTCGTGACTAAGATACTATGATCTATCAGATCAAAGGCTTTACGGTAGTCGAAAAGAAACCAGCCTCATGGCAGTACATTTTTCCGGATTAATCATTGAACCATTGGAGCAAAACCTTGAATTAGCAGTAAGGAGATCCGCCTGAAAACGTTAGGCAGTTGAGAAATATCATTATTGATATTTAAAATTTGTGTATCACCAGAGCCTGCACTAAAACCCAGTAAATAATTAATTATGTGGAAAAATAGTAAAAAGGAGGAGAACCGATACACACCCCTGTGGAATGCCCGTCATCAGATGTCTCACTTGAGAAAAGTAACCCCAATACCCCGTAAACTGCTTCCACAGAGATATAGCCACCTTTCATTCCAGTTCTCGAGGCAATTTATAAAGTCAGGAGCTCATGACTAGCAGCCTCTATCTCCACTGATTTCTTTAGTCAACTCTTTCCCGAGTAGATTTATAAATAGAACGGCTTGTTTCCCCTGAAAAGTGTCATATTTCTGGGAGTCTCGTATGTCACTATGAAAAATGAGGTGAACGAATTTCCTGTACATGTGCTGTTTGATGTAGAACAATAGCACTGTCATTACCTCGTTGTGATTGGTTCTTTTCACTGTAGACGTGCGAAGCCTCCAATGGGAACCGTACAATTAATAAATCTAC